AGTGTGTGTGTGTCTCTCTCTCTATGTGACTGAGTGTGTGTGTGTCTCTCTCTCTATGTGACTGAGTGTGTGTGTGTCTCTCTCTCTATGTGACTGAGTGTGTGTGTGTCTCTCTCTCTATGTGACTGAGTGTGTGTGTGTCTCTCTCTCTATGTGACTGAGTGTGTGTGTGTCTCTCTCTCTATGTGACTGAGTGTGTGTGTGTCTCTCTCTCTATGTGACTGAGTGTGTGTGTGTCTCTCTCTCTATGTGACTGAGTGTGTGTGTGTCTCTCTCTCTATGTGACTGAGTGTGTGTGTGTCTCTCTCTCTATGTGACTGAGTGTGTGTGTGTCTCTCTCTCTATGTGACTGAGTGTGTGTGTGTCTCTCTCTCTATGTGACTGAGTGTGTGTGTGTCTCTCTCTCTATGTGACTGAGTGTGTGTGTGTCTCTCTCTCTATGTGACTGAGTGTGTGTGTGTCTCTCTCTCTATGTGACTGAGTGTGTGTGTGTCTCTCTCTCTATGTGACTGAGTGTGTGTGTGTCTCTCTCTCTATGTGACTGAGTGTGTGTGTGTCTCTCTCTCTATGTGACTGAGTGTGTGTGTGTCTCTCTCTCTATGTGACTGAGTGTGTGTGTGTCTCTCTCTCTATGTGACTGAGTGTGTGTGTGTCTCTCTCTCTATGTGACTGAGCGTGTGTGTGTGTGTGTGTCTCTCTCTATGTGACTGAGTGTGTGTGTGTGTGTGTGTGTGATTGAGTGTATTACGCAGCTGCTCCAGAGTTTGTCTGCTTCATAACTCGATTACTGCTTCTTCCTGCCGGCGTCTCCGTCTCTCCATCTCTTCCTGTGTCGTTCTGTTTCCAGCAGATCGGTTGACTCTCTCCAGTCCTCACGTTTGTTGTCTCTCCTCGTACTTCATTTCTTTTCTTTGATTTTTCTCGTGTGTGTGTGTGTGTGTCTCCTCTATGTGTCCCAGGACAGACAGAGAGACAGATATGAGTTAAAACACAATAACATACGCCTCTAATAAATACTGAACACACACACACTGAGGGGTCTTTGTTTATCGATCAGTGAGCTTTTACAGAAGTGAGTGTGTGTGTGTGTGTGTGTGTGCGAGTGTGTGTGTGTGTGCGTGCACGCACATATGGGGCAGAGTTTTGCTAAATGTTGCACTGTTTGAGCTCTGAAGAGCCCTATTGACTAAAAGAACTTGTTTAGGTATTGAAATCAGTGCCTAATTAGAAATTGAGTGTTTGTAAACATTTTATTTTATTTTTATTTATTTACTAGTATTTTACATTATTTCTGAATGTAATAATAAAATGCAACTTACAAAGAAAATTCATAACAAAATTATTATTATTATTTATTCCCAAACACTGGTAGGTTTTAGGTATTTTATTTTTATTCCACACGCTAGTAGGTTTGTGAATTTTGTAGTTTTTTTGTTTTGTTTTGTTTTTTTTACTGGTATTTTATATGATTTCTAAACATGATAAAGTGCAACTTATACACAATGCAATATATATAATAAAAAAAATATATATATATATTATATAAATTAATGTATACAAGTTACATTTTTGCAGTTCATGCCTTTATTTAAACTGGTATTTTATGTTTTCTGAGTGTTGCTTTCTGCACATGATGCCAGGTTGATATTCTGGTCTGTAGAGATGACAGAGTTCTTCACCTGTTTTTGATCAGCTGCTCTTCTGAGTGTTTTTGCATGTCGTTCGCAGATCTTTGTTCTGCGTGTCCATCAATAGTGAGACGGCCGTCCTCGATAGATAGAGAGAGACAGCAGAGGAAATAATGACGCTTCAGTGAGCCCAATCTCTGCCTCTGATTTGATAAATGGACAGTTATTGCTGTGGCAAATTGTCCCGAAAGCAATTGGATCCCATCAGCACTGTGATAAAACCAGAGTTATTGATCTGTGAGAGCTGATATAGTGAATACATCAGCCCGAGTCACAGACACACGCGTGCCATTAAACACGCACACTTCACACACACTTCTGCATATATGCCCTCTGAATATATTTTAATGATCTGATGCAATGAAGCTGCGCTTGTGCATTTGATCAGCTTGAACCTGTGTTATTTTAGCATTGATATACTGTAGTTTTTGTTAATATTTTGAATTCGTTATTTTTATATTTTCTGTTTTCACTTTAATTTTAGCTAATTTGTTGTTTTTGTATTTTATAAATTTTATAATATATTAATTTATTTACTATTATTTATTATTAAGTTGTTATTATTTTATTTATTTTACACTAAAATAAAATGAGAAATGTTTCCTTGGCAGCTACCTGGAATAAAACAAGTTTTTTATATTTATAATTTTATTTATTCCAATGATGCAAAGCTGAATTTTTAAAAACATTAACAAATCTCAATTATTCCTTAATTTAACCTGATTTCCTGCAAAAATAACTATATTGTGATAATTATCGTTATCATAAAATGCAATTATTCATATTGTAATAAGATTTAGCTCATATTGCCCACCCCTAGTTGTCATACATTAAACTGTTGATGATTTTATTATTCATGCATTGTTTAATTTTTTTTTCTTTCACACTCAAACACAGTCAAACAGTTATTAAGTTCCAGACAAATGTGAAACGACACACACACACACACACACACACACACAGAGGAAGCTGTAGATTGATTCTGGGTTTTGCTCTCAGGGCTAAAGGTTATTGGTGGTGATTATTTTCACTAATGTCATTACGGTCCTCCGTCCCGAGACACAGAGAGCATCACGCTACACATACATCACCGCACACGTGTGTGTGTGTGTGTCACTCTCAGCAGTCACATGTACGGTCGTTTTTACTATGGAACTGGTGTCATATAGTGAATATAGTGCTGTCTGAAGGGAGTTTGACATGCATCGAGAGACTGTATTCACTATAAAACACCAGCTCTAGTGTCTTACTGCATAAATATTACAAATATACACAAATGTTGATGAAAACATGGTTTTTGGAATCTGATTATGTGTGTTTCTGCCTCTTTCTGTCTGTCCGGAATCATTTTGTCTGATAAATGATTGGGGACAGATTTCTTGCAGTCAAGTGTGTTTGTGTAACTGTGTGTGTGTGTGTGTGTGTGTGTGTGTGGTTGAATCTGATTGGCTGATAATAAGCAGTTGCTGGTTCTCTCTCAAGGACAGACGTGTGTGTGTGTGTGTGTGTGTGTGTGTGTGTGTCATCCAGATGTCTTTGAAATGTTCCGTCTCCGGAAGGACAGTGTGTGTACTAAGCGTGACGGGATGCTGTGTGTGTGTGTGTGTGTGTGTGTCAGTTGTCTATGTTTTAGAGACAAACACACACTGTGAATGATCTAGAATTGACAGTAGGTTGTCTTGATAAAAATACTTCATTATAAATGTACTTCTCTTTTTATGCATTAATTTTTCTAATCAGTCAGAAAGTAAGCAGTCCATTATAAAATAGGGGGGGAAATAAATAAAATAAAAAAACAACATTTAGACCAAAACACACATAAAGACCAAACCACATCTCATCTGCTCTGAAATTTTATTAACTAAATCTAAAAAAAAAAAAAAAAACATTGCTTAAAAAATTAATAAACTTTAACTGAAATAAATCATATATTTAACAGAAAACTTTTATTTTAGCATTTATCATTTTCATTTAGTTTAACTTGATGTACAAAAATAACTAAAATAAAAAAACTATTTACATATTTTTTTAAAAGCTAAAACGAATAAAAATCACAAATACAACAAAATTACAAAAAAAAATGTTTTACTGAAATTAAAGTGAAATCATAATATATAAACTAATTCAAAATATTAATAAAAACTGTAATAGTATCTCAGTGATACTAAAATAACACTGATGTGAACCAACAGATACCGTTATCAGCTCCATCTTCTCAAAGAATGCATATTTCTTCTAAAACGAAAGGGGATATTTATTTAGATTTCATTTATATTTATTTGTATTTGCTGATTAATACATTTCAGTCATCACTGAACATTTACTGAATTTAAAATGTTCTATTTTACTTAATATTTGTGATCGTTGTGTGTTCTTACTGGTGTATTGTTTTATCTTACTGTGAACAAGCAGTTGTTCTTATGTTAATTATCTTTATTACTTGGCAGATTAGCTAATTAGCTCAACTATTATTGTTAATAAATGTATCTTTATTAAGTATGAGTGTGTTGCTGCTGTTTTATAAAAGCAATAAGAGAGGCACTGTGCGTTACTGTGATTTTACCACAGTTTATAGACCTGATCATAGAAAGCCTGAAATATTAAAAATTAAAATTGTGATTTCCAGGCCTGGAAATGTCTCATTTTGTTCATCTGTAAGATATCACATCGTCTTTAACAGTCTCAACTTACAAGTCATTTGTTTGTACAGTCTACCTAACCATATTTTGAGAAGTAAACAAAAGTTGTTGTTTTTTTAAATGGTAAAAATGCAGTGAGTTTTCCGTTAGGGTCAGTGTGTGGGTTAGTGTTAGGTTTTAGTATTTATGACTAGCTGTATATAAAAACAATAGAAGTCTATGGAATGAACCCATTTAGAGAGCTGTGTAAATGTGTGTGTGATGCTGTTATGTTTAAAGACAACTGAATGATTGTTTGTACGCAGCTCAACACAGATAACACAAACATATCTGCTGTAATGACGTCTGATGATCTCACACACTCACATACACTCACACACAGATACATACACACACACACACATGCGCTGTTGCCATGGTGAGCGTGTGTTATCATGCTGTGTCTCTGCTGGATCTATTCTAACCTGATTTAGTTGCTCCAGCATTGCAGCAGCGTAATGAAATTAGTGTGTGTCTAATGGTGCAGAGAGGCCCTGTCTCGCTCTCGTCTGTCTCTCTCTCCATCATTCTGTCTTCCCTCAGTCTTTGTCTTTTATTTTTTAAAAGCGCTTGCTCTCGTCCAGTCTGTCTGTCCTCCTCTCATTACCGTCTGTCTGTCTGTCTAGAGTTAATTATTGTCTGTTCTTCTCCGCAGCCATTAGGAGGAAGGAGAACGGCTGGTACGATGAAGAGCATCCCGTCGTCTTCCTCTTCCTGGGCTCATCTGGAATCGGTAACTTCTTTCTTTTCCCAACAATATTAAGCCTGTATATCTTATATTATAGTCTCTTTTTGAAAAAAAAAAGCATCTGTTAAATGTGTAAATGCAAATCTCGGTTTGTTTGTTGTTCATCCAGATGCACAAGCGTGTTTCTCTTCAAGTAGTCACACAGGAGTTTTGTAAAATTCTCCTATCAGAAGTGATTTATAGTCTAGTATGAAATTCATAGACGCGTTTATTCACCAGATCTGTCATCAGACGTGATGAACATACACACGTTCAGTTGTGGAGTCAGACAGGCCTCTGGCATGATCTACTTCTTGCAGTCACACCGTATGATTATTTACCACACATCACTCGACTTCTTTGTTTCTGTTTTTTGTTTTTTTATGCAAGACAGTACAAGATGTCTTCTTTCAGACTAGTGGAAAGAAAACATCCTACATCCACATTTAAGTGTTTATTTTATTGCACTTTATCTATTTGCGTCTGTAGATTTCCATTACAATGCATATTTATACATGAACAGACTGTGTTCTTGAATTTGTTTCTCCACTTCAGCAGCACTTACATACACCAAATCTTAGAGTTTTATTCCTCTCTATATTCTGAAGGTTTTTACTGAGGGGTTTGTTCATATATCATTCACACGGATTTATAAAACATTTTTTCCCTAAAAACATGGCAAAAACACGCATCTTTAAAGGTTAATAGTTTGTTTCTATACTTCAGCAGCACTTACATACACCAAATCTTAGAGTTTTATTACTCTCTATATTCTGAAGGTGTTTACTGAGGGGTTTGTTCATATATCATTCACACTGGTTTTTATTATTGCACTTTATCTGTTTGCATATGTAAATTTCAATTACTATATATTTCTTTTTAAAGGCCATTTTCTCAAAACGAGTTTGTTTCTCCACTTCAGCAGCACTTATATACACTAAATCTTAGAGTTTTATTTCTATCTATATTCTGAAGGTTTTTACTGAGGGGTTTGTTCATATATAATTCACACCGTTATAAAAAAAAATTCCCTAAAAACATGGCAAAAATACGTATTTTTAAAGGCTGTGAGTTTTTTTTTCCACTTCTGCAGCACTTACATTCACCAAAACTTAGAGTTTTATTTCTATCTATATTCTGAAGGTTTTTACTGAGGGGTTTGTTCATATATCATTCACACTGATTTATACAACATTATATTCCTAAAAACATAGCGAAAATGCATTTTGTTCTGTTTATTGATGGTATTTTCTGATTTATGGAGTGATAAAAACAGATATGTAAAATCCCCTCTATAAAAACCTTTAACTCTAATATGCCAACATAATCAAATAAACTTTTTGCACCTGGCATTATCTGGTGTTCAGATTTATTTTCTGGAAATTTGTGCAAATTATTTAATATTTAATTCAATATCGCATAATTTGTATATTTAAACAACAATTCATACAAAACAACTATAATGTACTGTGATTATTAAGCTGTGGAAAATATGAAATCTATTTGTTATCTAACTGTTACCCTCTTGACCTGTGCTGTCTCTGTTTTAAATGAAATACACTCAAGTTTTGAGCATAAGCATAAACACAGAGGTGCACAGAGACAATCTGGAGTCGTGAGTGTTTGTTTCTTGTGCTTTGATGGATGAAGAGATGTTTCTTCTATCGCCAGCGGCGCATCTGATCACTCACATCAATATTCAACAAGTCCCTCTTCTTACTATATATGCGTTTATTAAAATTCATAAGAGCGATATTTACTCTCACAGACTATATTACCCTGAGAGAAGAATGAAGGGAGAGAGAGATGACGGACACACGTGCCACGAGACGCCAGCAAAATAAACACAGCATGAAGTGATCTCTCTCCCTGACTGGAAATATAATCTTGTCTCACAGAGAGACCTCAGCGTCTGATGCTGCAGTCACGTCATAATGAGTCAAAACCGCTCACATCTTCGTCAAACTCTGTCTGTCACGTGACCGCTTTGATATTTCTAGCATTTCTGGTTTTATTGTTTGATGAAATTAATTGCATAGAAGCAAATAAATGTTTGACTGTTGTTTTTGCAGGTAAAACTGAGCTGGCCAAGCAGGTGGCGCGATACATGCATAAAGACATTAAGAAGGTCAGTCAGTAAATAAGCCTTCTTCTGAAATTATTGGCTTCTCGTGAAGGGCAAATGACAAGATTCTGTCGCTCTTTTATACAGGGTTTCATCCGGATGGACATGTCTGAATTTCAGGAGAAACATGAGGTGAGACACACACACGGTTTAGCACAGAATTCACAATCAAAGTGTCTCAGTAACTGGATTTTGAAGGATGTTCAAAAAGAAATGCAAGTGTGAAATCACATTGTCCATACTGAATGTGTATGAATCAAACCTCAGACCTCAAGGGGCTGATGATGTCTGCCATTAAACCAGATGTGTTAGTATTCAGATTGTTTAACTGAATTGCTCCGTAACATTAAAAGAGAATTAGAAGACAGTAGAAGAAGGAAGTTTACAGCAGGGATTTCCAATTGTTTTTGTCAGCCAAAACTTGTTTACAGCCAAATATATTTACAAATATTTACTTGACATCCCATCATAGATTTCAAGTTAATTTTTATTTTTGATATTAATAATATTATATTATTAATTTTATCAATGGTCAGAATATGCATCATCTTTTTGTGTTTTTGTGTTTCATTTAAATGTTTGTTTTTATTAAAATTATTATTTTTAAATATTATTTATCTTAATTTGACATTTTTAGGATTTCATGCATTTTAATTACGATTTGTATTTTAAAGAGTTTTATTTTTAAAATTTGAAAATTTGACAGTTTTGATTTAACTCATTTTTGTTGTAAAGTGTTGCTTCGTTTTTGTTTTTTTAAATGTATTCCTTTTTATTTTGCATTTTATGATTAATACATTTTTGTTTTATTTGTATTGTTTTTATTTAAATATGTATGTATATTGTACATTTGTCTGAAGTAATTCATTTTTGTAAGTGTTTTATTTTGATCGTTTTTATTTGACTATTATTTATTTACTTTGACATTTTTATGATTTAATTTTTTTTGTCTTTATTTTGAAATTATTCATGTTGATTTCACATTTTTATGATTTAATTAATTTTTAGTAAGTGCTTTATTTGGATTGTTTTTGTTTTTAAATTATTTATTTTTAGTTTTTTTATTTAATCAATAAGTTTGAGAACACCTAACCTACACTAATATCTGCTGTGGAGTACTTGCAAATGCATAATATGCTTGTTGTGTTATGAATTGCATACAGTAATGTTGTGTGAAGTTGAGCTTGTGTATCTAGAAGCTGTTTCTGGTTTAGCAGGAGCGGATCTCTGCGCTCTGAACAGAGGTTGTCTTCTACTGTGATTCTCCTTCATAAGCCGTTTAGTCTCGCTGTTACACAGTGACCTTAGACTGAGCCTAAACACACACACAATTCAATCACACACTCTTATTGTATTGATAGAGGACTGTCACTGTCACTCTGCTGGGCTGGATGAACGGTGTGTGTGTGTGTGTGTGCGTGTGTGTGTTTTGATCTAATCATTGAGTTGATCCCCTCAGAGGTCAGATCTACCCAGTTCGCATCTTCTTTGTCTTTCATGTCTATGTTCTGTCTTCCTCTCCTCTCTCTCAGGTGGCGAAGTTCATCGGTTCTCCTCCAGGATACGTGGGTCATGAAGAAGGTGGTCAGCTGACCAAACAGCTCAAACAGTGTCCGAACGCCATGGTTCTGTTCGACGAGGTGGATAAAGCTCATCCAGACGTGCTGACCATCATGTTACAGCTCTTTGACGAGGTACAGGTTCACTTCGTTAGCAAACTCAGTCATTTGTGAGAACAGACTAATTTAGTACCATAATATAGTTATATATCCAACTTTATATATATGTAGCTGTGCGAAAATACAGTTATGTATCCAACTTTATATGTATATATATATATATATATAGAGAGAGAGAGAGAGAGAGAGAGAACTGTGCGATAATACAGTTATGTATCCAACTTTATATAGAGAGTTGTGTGATAACATAGCTGATAGCTGTGATAATAATTAGGATTATGATTATTTAATAATATTATATTATATATAATATTATTGTATTATATAGTTTCTAGACCGTTTCCAGATGAGATTGGTGTTTGTGTGTCTCTGTGTTTCAGGGTCGACTGACTGATGGGAAGGGGAAGACGATCGAGTGTAAAGATGCCATCTTCATCATGACGTCCAATGCAGCTAGTGATGAAATTGCCCAGCATGCATTGCAGCTGAGACAGGAAGCTCAGGAGCAGAGCCGCCGGCGTCTGGCTGAGAATCTGGGTGAGCAATCACACCTGACATTTAACTTTACATTTACAAGAAAGTCACGTTTGATGACCTGCTTCTGTTCCTGCAGACGACGTTCAGAAGAGCGAGATCACCATCTCCAACACCTTCAAAGAGCAGGTGATCCGCCCCATCCTGAAGGTAATCCACCATCCTCGTGTGTTTCTCAGCAGAGCTCAGTGATTGGTTGCTGGTGTGTCATCGGATGATCTGATTGGTGCTTACAGGCTCATTTCCGACGGGACGAGTTTCTGGGGAATATTTATAATTAGTAATTATTATTATTATGTAATATGTAAATAACATAATTATTATTCATTATTCATTAATTTTCATTATTATTATTTATTATTATATTATAGTAATAATAATATATTTTTTATATATAACTAAATATATATTATAAATTATAATTAATTCTGATTAAAATGAATATATGTGTATATACACACACACAATTATTCAAATATTATTCAAATATAATATATATATATGTATGTGAGTGTGTGTGTGTGTTTGTGTGTGTATATATACAGCATATAGTATTTAATAAACCTTATGCTTATATAAAGCTATTACAATTATTACATTTTATATTACATTTATAATAATAATTTTTGCTATATAATTATACATATATAATAAATGATAATTAATTAGGATTAAAATTAAGGATTAAAACTCTGATCAATTTAGTCAGAGTTATTCTGGTGTGATGTATTTGTTTCAGGCCAAGCAGAGGCACAACATCACGCTGCTGTGGGAGCGTCCCGTGCTGGAGCTGCTGGCGGGAGGATATAACCTGCATTACGGCGCGCGCTCCATTAAACACGAGGTGCTGATCAATACCTGCTAATCACTGATCAATACCAGCAGTCAGAGCTTCAGAATCCTGAACAACATTGATAATCAGAAATGCTTATTGAATCAGCATATTAGAAAGCTTTCTGCCACGCCCACATCTCATCATCCAATCACGAACCGCTGCACAGAACCAAGCCCCGCCCTACATTTGTTTCTTTGTTTCACTTGGATGTAGATGTGATGCTGCTTCTGTTACATTGTAACGTTAAACAAACCAAGCCTGTTTACATGTCGATCAGTGTGATTTGGTTCTGAGTGCGTTTCTCAGTGTTGGGCACTAACTAGTTACACTAATAATATTACTTATTGCAGTAACTAGTAGTGTAAATAATTACTAACAAGATTTCAGTAATAATATTACAGTTACTATCCATAAAACAGCTAATTACTTAGTTACTTTTGATGCCTCAACCCCTACTGATTTAAAGTTCAACAATCCAATAATTCCTAGATTTATTTTCATAATTTTCACAACTTGCACAAACGCATGAAGTCACCAGTGAAGCAGGCATATGAAATATGAAAAAGCTTACATTCAGAAGATGGAAATATTGCCATTACATTGATTTTGTGAGGAGAAAAGATGATCTGAACACTGATGTGGAAGTTGTGGCATTACTTTACTCTGCAACCCACATCCCTCTGATCCTGATATAAATTGTATAAAATCCTTTTAGAGAATGAATTATGAACTTATATGATTTTGTAATATAATCGTATATGGGTATAACAGAGAAATTATAGCTACAATTAGCTTCAAGCTACACATGACTATTAATGAGATTAATACAACACTTTTCTAAATTTATTTTAATTTACAAGATTAACAATACAGATAAAAAACAATATCAACAAATAAGAAGGAGAGGAATTAAACATGCAAATCGAATTTATGATGCACAGCATACACAGCTATTTTCCTATACATACTGCTCAGCGCATAGAATTATAAAAGTATATAAATAAAAAAAGAAAACCCACACACACAACAACATTCTAGAAGAATTTTATGGGGAAGATATGCAACTTATGTGGGGCGTGAAAGAAAAGTAATGTAACTAGTAGTGTAACTAATTACTGTTGCCAGAAAGTAATAATATTACTTTTGAAAGGAGTAACTAGTAACGAGTAGTATGTAGGGGATGTAACTATATTATCAGTATCGTGATATCGCGATAGCAAAACTGTCTCGGTATTATCGCGGTCACATGACGATATGAAACAATAGGTCTTCCAGGAAAAAGTGTAGTTTATAAAACACATTTAAACTTCTTATTCTAACCTGAAAGGGCTTTAGAGTTGTGTTTTGGGTCATTATGCTTTGACACAGTATCTGTCAAACTAACTCAATCTCTTCATCAAGTCTGTTTCAAAGTGAAGCACACGCTTGGTTCAGACGATCAGCTCGTGATCCGGTGTTTTCTGCGTCTCAGAACGACTCGTTCACACTGAATGAATGCAGTCCACTCCTTTATTTCACGTGCTGTGAGTTTAGCGCGCGTTTGGGAACACAACAGACAGCAGTTATGCTTTATTTCAGCGGCAGATGATTACAGCGCTTCACTAGATTTGTAGCGAGACGTGTTTTTGTGAGCATGTTTTCACTGAAGCTGGAGTTTCCTTCTAAATAAAAGCTTAAAGTGCAGTTTATGAATCGCTGACAGCAAGCGGTTTAAATGCAGTCCAGATTCACAATATCTCTTTCAAGTGTAGAAATTAGGAAAGAAGTATTGTAATTTCCCTGCTGTAGTGTAAATATTCATTTTCATTTATTTTACAGTGCAATTGTTTTACAATATATGGCTATTACTGTCATTGTTGCTATTATTATTATTATATTCTAATTTGTTTGGCTTCCTAAAACACCAGTGTGAATGTAATTTAGACTGAGACACTATATCACAAATAAAAAGAGGGTTGAGTCCCTTTAAAGTTCAGCTACAAGTCAATTCACTGAAGATTTCTTAGTTAAGAACATGGGTTGGAGCTCTTAATTTTGACTCTCAAAGTGCATTAGATAGAATAATTTAACTTTAAAATGTACAAAATGTTCTTTTTTTTCCAATTTTTCATTTCTTTTTAAAAAAATATCGCAATAAATATCGTATCGTGGACTTCATATTGCGATATTATTGTATCGTGAGATTTTGATATAATTACATCCCTAGTAATATATTGTATTTTGTGAATAACGAGCCGAGCACTGGTGTGTGTGCGTGTGTCTGCGTGTGTGTGTGTGTGTCTGTGTGTCTGTGTGTGTGTGTGTGTGTGTGTGTGCAGGTGGAGCGGCGCGTGGTGAATCAGCTGGCTGCTGCGTACGAACAGGAGCTGCTTCCGAAGGGCTGTACGCTGCGTCTGACCGTCGACGGAGGACAAGAGAAGGATGGAGCTCCAGCTCTGCGTCTGGAGGTGGTGGCTGAAGACAGCACCGCCCGAAAACTGGACATCCGCCCGCCGCTGAACCCCGAGGACGTGACATACACCCCCCGACATCACTGAGACTCACAGACAGGAGCTTCAGTGCAGTGTTTGTCTGGTGATGCATCGCTCACACACACGTCAGATTATTGACAGAAACATAAAAATGACGTATGCAGACATACTCGTAACATTAATAACACACATAAATCACAGCGGCTTTATAATGTTTGTAATAATGCAGATCTCCATCACGCTTCCAGAGCGTTTGTAACATGTACAGACATATAGATGTGTATGTTTATGGAAGTTAAAGTGTATAAGAGAAAGTCATGTGATCACTAATGTTCACCAGCATCATTATATTCATTATATACTTTAAAACACAAATATTTCTGAGTTTTGGATTAAATTGTTAATATGAAATCTTATTGTAGCTTATTGTAAGTGATTCATCAGCTTTATTCCAAAGAAAAACAATAACACTTTACAATAAGATTTGAATTGTTAACATTGCTTAACTATATGGGTAACAAGAACTAACAATGACAAGTTTTTTTTTATTCTTGTACACAAAGCTAAATAAAGTTGAGAAAGTCAAATGTCTCTCGACTGACGGCTGTTCTTTGACTGTGTGCCGCGTAACGGGTTTAGTTGAGGAATGTCGTGGTCTCTGTGGGTCGTAGTCGAACACCAAGAAACATGCGGCGGGAATGTGTTTAAGAATGTGTGTGTGTGTGAGAGAGAGAGAGAGAGTGTGTGTGTGTGTGTGTGTGAATGTGTGTGTGTGTGTGTGTGAATGTGTGTGTGTGTGTGTGTGAATGTGTGTGTGTGTGTGTGTGAATGTGTGTGTGTGTGTGTGTGAATGTGTGTGTGTGTGTGTGTGAATGTGTGTGTGTGTGTGTGTGAATGTGTGTGTGTGTGTGTGTGAATGTGTGTGTGTGTGTGTGTGAATGTGTGTGTGTGTGTGTGTGAATGTGTGTGTGTGTGTGTGTGAATGTGTGTGTGTGTGTGTGTGAATGTGTGTGTGTGTGTGTGTGAATGTGTGTGTGTGTGTGTGTGAATGTGTGTGTGTGTGTGTGTGAATGTGTGTGTGTGTGTGTGTGAATGTGTGTGTGTGTGTGTGTGAATGTGTGTGTGTGTGTGTGTGAATGTGTGTGTGTGTGTGTGTGAATGTGTGTGTGTGTGTGTGTGAATGTGTGTGTGTGTGTGTGTGAATGTGTGTGTGTGTGTGTGTGAATGTGTGTGTGTGTGTGTGTGAATGTGTGTGTGTGTGTGTGTGAATGTGTGTGTGTGTGTGTGTGAATGTGTGTGTGTGTGTGTGTGAATGTGTGTGTGTGTGTGTGTGAATGTGTGTGTGTGTGTGTGTGTGAGAGAGAGTGATGCAGGAGGAGGAATGCATCACACACATTCCTTCTTTTCTCTGCATCCTTCTTTACACATGTAGGGATTCACTCACTTCCTGTGGGGATGAAATTAGCATCGTAAAACAGAGCCCTGTTGCCCGCCGGACCTCCCACAACACACACACACACACACAATTTAAAGTTGGCACAATTTTGGTCAGTCCTTTCAATGACTACAAATTTGCATTCTCAGTATTTTGAATGCAAATGCTGCATTAATGTCAGTCTGCTCATATCAGAATCCTTCACTGGAGTCTCTTGAAGAACTGCAGGTTGTTTGGGGTTTGTTTAGTTGGATTTAATTGTATCTGCCTTTTGCTTTTTTTGGATGAAAACAAAACATGAACTGATTTGATCTGAGTAATGACGGTATTGTCTTTGAGACCTGCTTTACAGCAGAATCTGAATTTGTCTCATATTTGATAAAGTTTGCATCACTGATTGTGTTATTTTCCTATTTATTAATGTAAAGCTGCTTTTAAACAATCTGTACTGTATAAAGCTCTGTAGAAACAAAGGTGACTTATTAACACCAAAAATAAATGTAAACTGGGTAACGCTTTATTTTATGCACACATTACATG